TATATATATATATATATATATATATATATATATATATATGCATGTGGCGCAACACGAAATAAGATTAAACAGATTCTTAGAAAATAAAAGTTGAAAAAAGATTACGTGTAATAACGAAAAGTGGGTTTATATAACATATATTACAATATTTTTATAAACAGTTGGGCTTAGGTTTAAACAATATACGTTGGGAAAAGCTAACAAGCTAATAAGCATGTGGGAGCTCAGAAAGTAGTTGGCTTAACATGTAGCTATATGAGGGAGTGGAAGTGAAATTCTAAATACAGTTAATATTAAGGCGACGGATGAGAATTCATCGCTAGTGAAAGAATCATATTATTTTCTTCTTAGAAAAATAGTTACATATTCACATGTATATAAAATAAAGGTGTTTGGTCAATATCATCAAGGAATAAAAAGTATATACTGATAGCCTTTTCTTTTCAAGGACTGTCGGAACTTAAATTCTTTTGGTCGATGCTTTGTTCATGAATTAAAAGGACCGCTGTCGACCTCAGTAGTCGTGGCTGTGAGTTCAGGAAGCAACTGGCTAGTTGGTATGAACTCCTATTTATATATGTTTTTTGTACCCTCTAGAACTCAGTAGAAGTTTCTAGAGACTTCTAGAAAGTTCCATTCTATTATTATGAAATCTAAAGGGTTTGGTGAAAAGGGCATCTAGTAGCTACAGATTTAAGTCATCATTTTAAGTTAGATTTTGTATTTTATAGTGTAAGTGTAAAGAAGTAGGACAAAGTGGGGCCTCGTAACAATATATATATATATATATATATATATATATATATATATATATATATATATATATATATATATTATATAATAAGATAAAGAACAAAGAGGAAGCGATTACCAATCTGACACTTTCACTTTCACTTTCATTAAAGTTTCATCAGAGAATGAAATAGAAAAAAAGAAGAAAGAAATTCTGGTATTTTTACTTTTGTGTTGTTTGAATCTCATTGGCCAATCACGTTTCCCGTGCATTCGACTCTTTAAAGCAACGTTAGTATAATTTATGGCATTCCGAATTCAATGAGAGATGACGAGTCCATCCGAAATTTCAAGAAAATAACGGATTCAAAGCTGACCTAAAAAATCGTAAATAGTGCAATATGCATGCAAGTGTATAAAAATTCTAGTGTGTTTATGGGGGAATCAGTTGGTAATGTATATTCGTAATTGTGTGTTTGTGTGTGTGTGTGTGTGTATGTGTATTTGTCTGTCTGTCGGTCTGTCTAGTAGACCATAGGTTTTGTGATTCTGTCCCCTTTATTTCGATCACTGGGGTAGACCTTTATTTCGATCACTGGGGTAGACTGTTCTAGTTCCACGTGCCATGTTTGATGGATGTCAGTTATCAGTTATCTCCTGCTAATTTCCCTCTGAAAGTTCTCCACTGCCTTAACCAGGAATTGAACTCACCTTCTTTGGGTCTGTCACTGGATCTAACCAACGCCTTTATCCACTGTGCCATGTGTCCTTGAGGGTTCAGTTCGACATTCCAACCACCTGAAGAAGGCCGGAGCGTACAACGGCCGAAACGTTGTGACAAATATGGCGACAAAGATGAGGACAATAGTCCGACTAATGTAAATACTGAATGTTTGGTGATTCTGCGCATTTTGATCTGGGAACGTTTTTACTTACATACCGTTTGCTTTAGATAAACAGTCTTTATATTCTTTAAGAATGGATTCAATAAAGCTGGATGATATATTTTTGATGCGTATTTATATTTGGTAATATTATTAGTCAGATCTCGAAATACTTTCTTTAAAGAATTATGTTCTTTTCTTAATTAGGGAGGCATTAGTCATAGCTAGTTTTGTTCCTGTGTATTATGAGAGCGTTTGAATGGCTGTACCAATGTAAATCCTTTTTATGCTCGTAGATACGGGCTTTTAGATCTCGTGATGTCTCTGACAAATTATTTTACATTGTAAACAATTTATCTTATAAGTACCGGCATCTGAATTGGTACTGGATTTATTTTTCTTCCTAATTATATCTCCGATTGTCTTGGACGTGGTGGTGAAGATCCTAGGATTAGCGATAACTAATTATCCCTAATACTTAAATCTTTATTAAGTATTAGGTGAAAATACATTAAAAGTGTCATGCTGCAAGAAACCCCCTACGGCTAATATACGACCAGGTTTCTTCAGCCTTTGTTTTTTTTACAGTGGTGTTCACCCTGCACAAGGACCGGGAGCCACTCGAGGTAGAGGGCTACATAGCAAAGGCACAGTGGGGAAGATAACGGTTAACCCTCGGTGTGAACAGTGTATGTGTGCATGTGTGTGTGTTTTTCTAGTAGACATTATGTTTATTGGTTCTGTGTATGTTGATTTGGGAATATTTTTACTTACATACGGGTTGTTTTAGATAAACATATGTTTAGATTCTTTAAGAATGGATTCATTCAAGTTTGGTGATGTAATATAATGTTTTTGATGCGTATTTATAGTTGGTAATATGGTTATTAACAGGCTCTCGAGGTACTTTCTTCGTAAAAATACATATCAGTTTTTAATTAGAATGGCATTAATAAAATCAAAGTTATGGCCAGTCTATGTGGATTACGAGAGAATTTGCATGGTTGCCTAAGCGTAAATCTTTGTTGTGTTCGTAGATACGGGATTTAGATTACGTGATGTCTCTCTAATATTAACTTTTTTACATTGTAAACAATTCATTTCATAAATTACGGCCTTTGAATTGGTGTTATTTTTCTTCCTAGTTATATCTCCGATTGTCTTAGACGTAGTCGTAAATATACTAGTATAACTAATTCATTTTTTAAGTTTAGTAGAAAGAGTGTTAGAAGGGAGGAGTATAATTTTTTAAAGAGATGAATACATATGAAATATGATAGATCAATGAAAATCAAACAATAAAAAAGTAAAAAAATACTAGAATTTATTTTTTCTTTTGAAATGATTTTGAATGCAAAACACATATTTTAAAAAACCAAGATTGAAAACACATTATTAAAAAAAACTCAGAAGTATTTTCAATATTCAAAATTCCCATCCTCTCTCATTCTCTTTGTATATATATATATATATATATATATATATATATATATATATATGAGGCCTCACACTTATACACACACCCACGCGAACATACACACTTACACACATCATACTCACTCACTCCCTAATGAGCCAAATGATAATACACACACACAGCAATATACACGCTTACACATATCATACTCACTCACTCCCTAAGAACAAAATAACACACACACACACACACACACACACACACACACACACACTAAACAGAGACACATCCCCTCTCCAGGAACCATTAAAACTGTCAAAATGACCAAGGGAATTCAGAGCAGCATGAATCCATCCAGCTCTTATCTCAAATAACAACTTAAGAGACTGTTTGACCAACACAAGGACTGATTAAAATTCATGTTAAAAAAATAAAAAACAAATGAAAACTACAGATAAAAGTTCATTTTCTCCATCAAGACATTCATTTCTGTAGTTCACTGCTACCAGCAAGCAGAAATATTTCTTCTCCTGATGATGGCCATTTTGGCCGAAACTAGTCGAGGAATCTAAATGAAATAATAATAATAAAACGAAAGAATATTAATCTACAACCCAGTGTGTCTGAAGATTTTAATTTAAAAATTTTTTTGATTGTTCAATATATATATATATATATATATATATATATATATATATATATATATATATATATATATATATATTGTGTATGGCATTAAAGTCACGATACTTACAATAACAATTAAGACAAAGCAATCAGTACAGAAATTTATTATTAAAATAGTTCTGGTTAATTCTGGTTAGTAACAATAAAATTCTATGGTAAACAATAGCAAATCAATTCCCTGATACTATTCAACTACAAGCCACCTGCTTCAGTTCGTTGCTTTTTTATCATAAGTAACTGTATGCCGACTTTATTGCACCCTATATATATATATATATATATATATATATATATATATATATATATATATATATATATATATATATGGCCGATATCTCCGTCGGTCGAAATACGCTATTCCCAATATGAGGTAATTTTGGATTTTATTGATTATTAATTATATTGTTCTGTACATTTTCGCTATCTATCCTAAAAAGTCATGACAATTTACAGATAACAAATGGAAGGATCTCTTGGAGAGTCAAAACTGTCTGTATCAGGATGCAAGATTATATCTAAAAATAAGGACAGTTAAAGATTTAAATTTCCAATCAGAAATTACCAGCCATTTTTATTTTTAGAATATTTTGAACTTAATTCGGATTTAAACTGACCTCTGTCTGCAGTGCTGTTGGAAGAATTGGATAACCCATTTTTACGCATCAAAGGAACAAAGGCTTTATCAGAATTTCTTTGTTTTTAAGCCGACCAAACATATAGTGAGCAAAGCCGGTATTCCGTTGTTGTTGGCCACATTTAAGATCTTTATCCAACTGCTACTGTCGAAAGTAGAGGTGTCGCCGATAATCCTGCCCAAAACTCATAGTTGTGACCGCGTATCAATCGGAAATAGGGTCATTATAGCCTGAAGCGATTAGGTATTGCAGTAAACAAAGGATCTTGAAAGCCGAATCTGAGATGCGTGTCGTCTTTTGGTCTTGCTTATGCACAACTGCAGCAACTATAACGAACAAAGGTTCGCGTCAAAGAATGCCGGAAATGGTACTTGTGTTTAGCAAGATATGGCGGCGGTCGCCTCTTTGTGATATTGAGGTTGTTGATAACAATAGGAACTCACAATGCCTCGAAAACTTGAAGGTCAGCTGAAAAGAAATGATCAGAGGGGGACGAATAATAAGCTTGCTACTATGGATACTGAAACAGTCGAAATGAGAGTATGATGAAGATCAGCTCGAATACTGACGGCCATGCTGGAGTACTGGTAGGACTTATTAGGTTGATCTTAAGCGAAAGCAACCAGGAACTACAGGTGTGCAACTATGACCCTTCTTCTTCGTATTTTTCTGCTTCTTCTTTTTAATCCTTTCCTCTGTTTTACTCCTTTGTTCTTCTTCATTTTCTTTCTTTCCCACTGCATTTGCACCCCCCTATTCTACTTTATGTTCCTCCTCCTTCTCTTTCTTCTTCTTATCATTCCCTACTCATCCTCCTCTCCTTCTTTTAATTACTTCTCCTCCTGCTCTACCTTGTTCTCTTCTTTCTCTTGCTTCGCTTTTTCTTTCCCAGACTTCTTTTGTCCTCCTCTTCTTCTTCTCTCAGAATTTCACCTTCTCTTCCTCTACCTCCTCTTCCTGCACCTCCTCTTTCTCTTAAAATACTCCTCTTCCTTCTCCTATTCTTCGTCTTCTACTTCTTTTGCTTCTTCTTCTTTGTCTTCGTGCTTACTTAAATGTTTCATTCTCCTCCCAGATTTTTCTTCTTCTTCTTCTTCTTCTTCTTCTTCTTCTTCTTCTTCATTTTTCCACGTTTATTTTGCTTCTTTTTCGTCTTCTTCGTGCTTGTTTAACTCTTTCATCCTCTCCTCTCCTCCCAGATTCTTCCTCATCTTTTTTTCCTCTTTTTCTTCTTCTTTATCTTTTACGTCCTGTTTCTCGTGCTTTTTTGTTGCTTTTCTTTGTCTTCTTCGTCTCTTTCGTGCTTGTTTAACTCTTTCATCTTCCCCTCTCCTCTCAGAATTCTTCTTCACTTTCTTTTTCTTCATCTTTTTTCTTTTTTTCCCACGCTTTTTTTTATTCTTTTTCGTCTTCGTGCTCATTTAATTGTTTCATCCTTTCGTCCCCAACCAGAGTCTTCCTTTTCCTCTTTATTTTATTTTTTCTCCTTTTTTTTCTACTCTTTTTTCGTCTCCTTTGTGTTTGATTTATCCTCCCTTATCCCCTCAGAATTCTTCTTCTTCTTCTTCTTCTTCTTCTTTGCTCTTTCCTTTTTCTTGCTTCTCTTCTTTTTCTTTTTCATCTCTTTTCTTCGTTTGTCCGCCTCGTCTTCTTGTTTCTCCTTTTCTCCTCCCTTTCCTGAATATGTTCGTCTTCCTTCTTTTTCTTCCCGTTTTACTCCTTTGTTCTTCTTCATTTTCTTTCTTCCCCACTGCATTTTCATCCCCCCTCTATTCTACTTTATGTTCCTCTTCCTCCTCCTCTTTCTTCTTCTTATCATTCCCTACTCACCCTCCTATCCCTCTCTCCTTCTTTTACTTACTTCTCCTCCTGCTGTACCTTTTCTTCTTTTACTTGCTTCGCCTTTTCTTTCTCAGACTTCTTTTGTCCTCCTCATCTTCTTCTCTCACAGTTTCACCTCCTCTTCCTCCACCTCCTCTTCCTCCGCCTCCTTCCCTTTCCGTTTTACTATCTCTCCTCCTCCTCTCCTTTCTTAATCTTTATTTTCTTGCACCCCCACTGCATTCTATTCTTTTTCTCTCTATTATATCTTCTCTTTCCATCGTCTTCTGCTCCCCCTACTCCTATGATTATTCTAATTCTTGCTTCTTCTTCTCTCCTCCTCCTCCAAATGTCTCCCTCTTCTTCTTCAGTGTTCTTTTACTTACCCCCCCTGCTCTTCCATGTCCTCTTCCTTTTCTTGCTTCTCTTCTTTTTCGTCTTCAGCCTTTTCTTCTTTTTTTCTGGCTCATCATCTTCGCTTCACCTTCTCTTCCACGACCTCCCCCCTCTTTCTGTTTTACCATCTCCTCCTCCTCTCCTTTGTTACCATTCATATCCTCCTACTCCTATGATTATTCTAATTCATGCTTCCCCTACCCTTGTCCTCCTCATCTCTCTCCTCTTCTACTTTATACTAATACTAGCAGCCATACCCAGCTGGTCCATCAGAAAAAGCGTTCAATTAAAATAGAGCAAAAACAGCATCATGTTTCGATGTAACAGAGTCTATCTTTTCCAATTAATTTAAAGTACTTTCATTAAAAACATTTTGAATTAATGCAGTTACTGATATAGCAGAAGTCGTCTGTATTTATTCAATCGAAGTTAGCCTATGACATGAAGGGGTAAAACAGGCAACATGAAGACCCACTTTTGACCACAACTGTTTAAGAGTTGTTGAAATTCAATTTGTCAGTGTGCTACCAGGGATGTAAAAGAGGATGCATTTATAAAGCAATTGTTAAGTTTGATGAAAATTGGTTGAAAAATCAACGAAAAATAAGAAAGAAAAACAGTAAAAATCGACATTTTTCGCTAATTACGCGGGTTTTCGCTATATGGGTGGACTCAGTTATCAAGTTAAATGATTGCTAACCAATCAACTTATTGTTGACTACAATTAAGTGAAATTTGTAGTAGATAGCTTGAAAATTGAGGGAGTTTTTAGTTTAAAATTTGTGTTGAAAACGATTATTTGCTTTCCGCGTTTTTTTTTTTTTTAGAAATAAAGATAAAGTATTGTTGAACACGTCATGATGTAAGTAACCTACATACCGAGTTTGGGCGAAATCGGAGGAAAAAAGAATTTATCGATTTTTGATCGGCTTTTTCGATTATTGATTTTTTAAAAATTATCGATTTTTACGCTAAGAACCTATCTCTTACGTTGTACAATGTATGTTCCAAGTTTGGTCAAAATCGGTTGGATGGATTTCGAGTGAAAAGGTATCACAGAGAAAGACAGCCAGACATAGATGCTCGTATTACTTTCAGTCTGGTTGAAAAGTTGGCTGAAAAGTTCATAGGCTGACCAAGATAATCTCATGAAATATTATTATGTAAAATAATGGATCCTATGCAATAAAGGTGAATAAGTCAATTAGAATAATTGAAAATAAATACAATGTATCTAAATACAAATTAGAGACCTGTTATAATAGATCATTCCATCTTAAATAAATCAACAATGTTTTGTGACAATTTTTAACATTAACTAAAGATTGTTTTTTGTTAAAATTAACATTGTAACACCTTCAAGATTATGGATAATTCAATTCTGAATTTTATATCGTGTTTTCATATATAGAATTTTATATAGTATTTATAGTGTTAAAGAATTTTATATAATGTTTATATAGTGTTAAGGAATTTTTATATAATAGAATTTTATATAGTATTTATAGTGTTAAAGAATTTTATATAATGTTTATATAGTGTTAAGGAATTTTATATAGTGTTTATATAGTGTTAAGGAATTTTATATAGTGTTTATATAGTGTTAAGGAATTTTATATAATGTTTATATAGTGTTAAGGAATTTTATATAATGTTTATATAGTGTTATGGAATTTTATATAGTCTTTATATAGTGTTAAGGAATTTTATATAATGTTTATATAGTGTTAAGGAATTTTATATAACGTTTATATAGTGTTAAGGAATTTTATATAGTGTTTATATAGTGTTAAGGAATTTTATATAGTGTTTTTTCGAGATTTGCACGAGCAAAACAAATTCACCAAAAATACCGCAGAATGACGTCAAAAACTACGTCATTTGTACCTAGATTAATTTGTAACGTATATAAATGAAGGTAGAAAAAAAAACAAAAAACAAACACATCTTGATACATAGTGAGGTTCACAAAGCACTGACAATGACGCTCAATCAAGCTTGTCCCCGTCTTCCCCCAGTCGGGGTGTTCAGAGGTAGTACGCACCAGGTCGTGTTTACGGATATGTAGTTATTATTATTTTTAACCTACGACCATATCAAGTTGTTCGGTTCTCGAAGTTAAGCAATGTCGATCCTGGTCAGTCTCTAGAGAGGTGGCCACTTGGGAATACCAGGTGCTGTAAACTTTCGGTTGGTGTAATGGTTAACGGCTAGGAATCGGAAATCGGAGAGTTCTAGTTCCAATCGGGTTCATTATATCCATTTACGTGGGAATGTATGTATGCACTTAATCCCTCCATATATGAGTTAATCAGTAAGACCTGTGTCTATAAATTATGATTATCTCCCGCCAAAATTTTACAATCTAAAAATATCTTCTGGTTTTGACTAACCTACAAAAGGCCGATAAATCATAAAAAATGAACCTTATTTTTTGTAATGCTCAGTTTGAGTACAAGTACACACTGCCCAGCCCAGGGATTGAACTCACAATTACTATAGCACACAATTCACAAACTGTCGTTTTAATCCACTAAGTTATCGTCACGTGGGACAATTTCCTGTGGAGAACTTGTAACCCCGATGAGTCCTGCTTTACGTATCCTGCTTGATTCCACTCACCATAGCTTCTCTTTTGTTTGTTATTGTTCAATACTGACACATGGGCAGTGGAACGAGGACAATCTAGGACACTGTGGTTTAAATAAATAGTTCAATTCGGTATTCCTTATTCGACACACACCTGAAGAAAGCTGGAGACCACAACGGCCGAAACGTTCTGTTAACAACAAAGATGAGGACATTAGTCCGCATATAAATAGTGTAAATAGTAATGATAACTCATCATGTTAGAAATTTAAATGCATCGTGTAACCTCAGAATTTCGGCGATCAAGGCTCTCCACAACTTCCTATCATTTGTAGCTCTTAGTAAAGTTTGTCTTTTTATAATCTGATGTGGGCCCAAAGTTGGGACCACAGAAGCAAAACACGGATTAGATGTAAGAAAGATATATTAACAACAGGTTACAGAGATAGTGTAAGCGTTGCTATATGTTAGTGTCCAATACTGGTAATCGTACGCGGTTCTCAGTGTCTCTCTCTCAGTCTAGAGTGTTGTGTCGTATACTTAATATAGACCTGGAAGAGTCTATTGTGTAGGTAGTTCCGGTCTCACAATATAATCTCAAATTATTCTTGTTCTGCCAACTATATACTTCCCTGTACCTTGTCCTTTCAGAACGTGGGTGTTGTGGATTACGGGTTGAAATTCGGTACCAATAAATAACAAACGCCAGGAATGAATATATGAAAATAATGTATTAACGTAATAATACAAACTGTTAATGCAGGTTAGTAGTTCCAGGAATACGGGTTAGTAGCAAAATATATATATACAGCCTTTAGTATTGAAGTATCGCTGTATGACTTCTTACTGAGTCTACGTGCTCGCTCACTTTGACTCCTACAACGCTGTTACCTCACCCTCCCTCTTCCGGTTACCTACAACCTTTTACTCTGTCACTCTGGACTCGAATCTTCGGTCTTGCTCTCGTCTTTTCACTGGCAGTAGTATAAGTATACACTGGGTGAGTCCATTTGTATAAAAATTGGTGGACCCCTTAACAGTGGGCATTATGGCTCTCCACGCATTCCTGTTCTTTGTAGCTCTTAATAAAATTCATCATTTGCTATTTCTTCTAATCTCAGGTCTGACAATCATTTGCACAAACTTGTTAGGTAAGGTTATGCCTTGTTTTTTCTTTGTTCCTCTTACATTGAATATATCGATGTGTGTTAAATTTTCCAAGCCCACTTTCCTCATTACTTATCTGAGAGATTTCAACAGTCATTTAGTGATGCTACTTATAAGTGTCCTCTTTTATCTTCCATTTTAGAATTAAATTAATTAAACTAATTATTATGTAATGTTTCCACTGGAGATTAAATGACAGTAAGTCCCCTTAATACGCCAACACAATATTCATTATCTTAACTGTTTGAGTTTAAAAACATTTATCTGTTTTGGGAATAGGCAAATAATCGGCGTTTATATTTGGGATTTATATGTTTCATGGGGAAACAAATAATGTGCATATATATTTGGGTTTAAAATCACTTACTTGCTTCGGCCATGGGCAAACATTGGGGGTTTATATTTGAGTCTAAAATCATTTACCTATTTCGGGGATAGGCAATTATTGGACGTTTATATTTAAGTCTAAAATTAATTACCTATTTTGTGCAAATGCAAATATCAGGTGTTTATATTGGCGTCTAAAAGCGTTAACTTATTTCTGGGGTAGGCAATTAATTGGCGGTTATATTTGAGTCTAAAATTAGTTATCTATTGTTTGCTAATATCGGGTTTTTATATTTAAGTTTAAATGAATTTACCTATTTCGTTGATAGGAAGTTATTGGCCGTTTATATTTAAGTCTAAAATTAATTACCTATTTTGTGCAAATGCAAATATCAGGTGTTTATATTGGAGTCTAAAAGCGTTAACCTATTTCGGGGAAAGGCAATGATTGGACGTTTATGTCTGAGTCTAAAATTAGTTGCCTATTTGTTTTGCAAAGGCAAATATTGACCTTGAAATTTGAGTCTAAAAGCATTTACCTGTTTCGAGGATATGTAAATATTGGGTGTTTATATTTGGGCTCAAAATTATTTATCTGTTTCGGGGATAGATAAATATGGTAGCTTTATATTTACTCTAAATGTATTTACCTGTTTCATGGATAGGCAAATATTCTAAATGTATTTACCTGTTTCAGAGCTAAGCAAATATTGTGCGTTTATATTTGAGTCTAAATATATTTACCTGTTTCGGGGATAGGCAAATATTGAGCATTTATGCTTGAGTCCCAGGGTATTTGTTTTGGGGAGATAGATAAAGAATCCTCCTTCATATTTGAATTATTAATCGATTACTTGGCAAGTTATCCAGTTAATTTGCAGTTTAACACCCACGCCCAGTTCGCATTAACGATTACCACAATACTTATATTTATGTATAATTGTATATGATTCATTCAAATCTGGCTTGATAAATTTGATAAAATCTACCGTTTTGGACTTATCGACAGAAAAAAGTTTGGATTCATTCGCGTTGTGGCAGCCATTACTGCCGTTGTTTGTATACATTCGCTGCCGAATAGGTATGAGTAGAATATTATATTTTGTCTTGATTATTGCGCAG